GATCATGACCTGAGCCGAAGGCAGATGCTTAATGACTGAGCCACCCAGGCGCCCCTTAAGATTTTATTTTTAAGTAATCTCTACACCCAATATGGGGCTTGAATTCACAACATTGAGATCAAGAGTCAAGTGCTGCCCTGACTGAGCCAGCCAGGTGCCCCAAGTGTAAAAACATTTTAAAAGTACATACTATTTGACTCCGCAATTCCACTTCTAGGGGTTACAGGAAGGAAAGAACAGAAGTCACAAAGCTGCATTGTAGCTTCGTTTATAATTAAGAAAAATTTGAGGGGCGCCTGGGTGGCTCAGTCGTTAAGAGTCTGCCTTCCGCTCAGGTCATGATCCCGAGGTCCTGGGATCGAGCCCCGCATTGGGCTCCCTGCTCCACGGGAAGCCTGCTTCTCTCTCTCCCACTCCCCTTGCTTGTGTTCCCTCTCTTGCTGTGTCTCTCTCTGTCAAATAAATAAATAAAGTCTAAAAAAAAAAATTGAAACAACCTGATATCTATAAGGATAAACTATGTTACATTCATAGAGCGGAATATTATGCTATCATTGAAAGGGTAATGATTCTGTGCTCAATTCAGCAGCACACACACCCAAGTTGGAAAGAAACTGAGAAGATTGACATAGCTCTTGCACAAAGGTGACTTGCAGATTTGTGAAACGTGCCACGTTTTTTAGCTACGCTTGTGGTAAACATGGCATAACATACAGGGTGGTCGAATCACTGTGTTGTACTCCTGAAACTGATGTAACATTGTGAGCCAACTATACTTCAATTAAAAAAAAAAGCCAAAAAAAAAATGTAGGTAGTACATTTTGGGTAGTAAAACGATTAAAAAATAATGATGATGCTTCTCTGTCCTTTGCTGGCTTTGAAGAAGCTGCCGTGTTGTGACACAGTCTATGGAGAGGACCACGTGGCTAAGGACTGAGGGTGACCTCGGAGCTGTGAACAGCCCACCGCTGACCATCCACAAGAAAATAGGGACCCCGGTCTACACCTGCGAGGAGGTGAGTCCTGCCAGGAACCTGATGGAGCTGGGAGGCATGTCTCTCCCCATCAAGTCCTTGATGAGACTTTGACCCTGTCCAATTCCTAAGTTATAACCTGGCCACAAAAACTGTGAGATCATAAATACATGTTGTCTTCAGCTGCAGCTTGTGGTGATTTGTTATGCAAAGCTGTCTATGTTAAGTAACAACTCAGTTGTGAACCATCCTGTGGTATGATCTTATGTAAAATTGCACTTGAGTTTGAATAAATTCATAGAAAAAAATGTCTCAGACAATATAAACCACTGTGTATATTCCCCATGCTCTTCTGCCTTTCTTGAAATTTATTTACTTAATAAAGATTTTATTTATGAGAGAGAATAAAACACTCTTGATCGTGCACAGTGCAAGCAGGTGGGGGGGGAAGGAGCAGAGGGGGAGGGGCAAAGGGAGAAGCAGACTCCCTGCTGAGCACAGAGCCCAACATGGGGCTCCATCCAGGACCCCAAAATCACGACCCACCTAAACCAAGAGTCAGACGCTTAACCGACTGAGCCACTCAGGGGCCCCGAAATTTATTTTTTCAATGAACATGTATTTTATAATTGAAGATAGATGGATTCCTGTTTTTAAAGAAAAAAAAATTATTGGGCGCCTGGGTGGCTCAGTTGGTTAAGAAAAAAAAATTATTCAAAATCTTGGAGCAGAGTTTACCTGTTATGGTATCATTTTTGTGTCATGGTGATGTAACTTTTTTTTTTTTTTGCCTTGGAACATAGCGACATTCTTATTTAAAGATCATGTGACACATTTGTGTTCATTAAGGTAGTCTGTGGATATGGTTAAACAAGAATGCCCACCTTATATTAAGAAATAAAATGGGGCACCTGGGTGGCTCAGTTGGTTAAGCGACTGCCTTCGGCTCGGGTCGTGATCCTGGAGTCCCGGGATCGAGTCCCACATCGGGCTCCCTGCTTGGCGGGGAGCCTGCTTCTCCCTCTGACCCTCCCCCCTCTCATGTGCTCTCTCTCATTCTCTCTCTCTCAAATAAATAAATAAAATCTTTATAAAAAAAAAAAAAATAAATAAAGTTTCATTGGGCGCCTGGGTGGCTCAGTTGGTTAAGCGACTGCCTTCAGCTCAGGTCATGATCCCGGAGTCCCTGGATCGAGTCCCGCGTCGGGCTCCCTGCTTGGCAGGGAGTCTGCTTCTCCCTCTGACCCTCCCCTCTCTCATGTGCTCTCTCTCATTCTCTCTCACAAATAAATAAATAAAATCTTTAATAAAATGAAAAAAATTGCAGTCAGAGTTTTGCACTGCTAAAAATAGCTCATATTGAGAAAATTGCATTATGGCTATTTCAAACACAATTGCAATGATTATAAGGAAACAAAATCACAACTTGGGTGACTGCTATGCCAGAACATTCATTCTACCAAAAAAAGGACATTGGAGCTGGGCTAACAGGCCAAGTGCTTCAATAGAAGCCCGCTGTGTGTTCAAGAGTGATTATCCATTTATCTCCATTGCACTGGATGGATGCAGAGAGACGGAGAAACAGTGAGTAAAGTATATATTTGAGAAGAACATAACTGGAAATGATGCCATGGAATAAACTTTTAATATTAACCAAAGAATGCATATGGTGGAAGGTTGGAAATATGGCTTAAAGATTCATACTTACATCAAAATTTTCTTGTTAATGCTCTAATTCATCAACCAGGCTACTGAATTAGTCCAGTCAATCATTAATTTTCCAAGTCTGGAAAGCAAAACAACAAAACAAAACAAAAGTGGGGATTAAAATAAATGGAAATGCTAAAAAAATGATCATTTTAATATAATCTAATTTGCAACTTTTTTATGCCCTAAGAAAAAACATTATTTTGAAGGTGCCACCAGAAACCCAGTATCACATATCAAAACTAAATTAAAGAGTTTCCTTGCAAGTGGCTCTAATTAGCGGCCCTCCTGGAACTTAAGAACAGAGATGTGTTTTCATTCCATACCACCCACAATGTCATCTTATCTCAACTTTACTGCTCTTTATCCTGAGCACCCGATAGGACTCCCTTGTTTCAAAGTTAATACCGATTCATCTAGGCAGGGTTTCCTACAACAGAATAATTAAGAAGCTTCACTGATGGATCAAATAAGTCATTTTCAGTCAAACCAAGAAGTTGCTAGAGAGATGAGAAATGACATTTTCATCTGCATTAGTTTGAAAAGGATTCTGTGTGCTCTGGCTTCTCACAATACTTTTACTCTAGAGTAGCAGCGAAAGGAGAGAGAGAGTACATGTTCGCGTGTCAGTTCTAATCGACTTTCAGCTCAGAAAATGCATCTACGCTAATATCCACAACTTCAGTCACTAGGTCAAAGAATGACTCAGACTCACGGGAATACATTTAGTTGATAACTCATTGACAGTGTTTTCTTCCTTTATCAGTATTTTGACTAGAAAGCCAGTATTTTTGATGAGAAATGTAAAAATGCTTAAAATCAGGATTCATATGCAGTAACCTATTCTCTCACTTTTTAAAAAGTAGGTGCCTTTGATTTCAAGGCATCAAAACCGAAGTGCACGGACTCCAGGCTCGTTTCTGCGCAGGCACCGGGGTCTCCCTGGGGAGGACGAAGGACAGAGTGAGATCTCGTCATCCCTCCTCCTCCAGGCTGTTGAGCGGTGTCTCGGTGTGGTGGCCAAAGTGAACTGGCCTGCACGGTTTCCATTCCGTTCTCCTGGCTGCAGCCGTGGAAACTACACTTCCCACATCCTCTCGGAGCTATGTTCTCGGTGTAAATTAGGATTATGGGATTTAGAGGAGAAGTGAGCCTGGGCAGTTAGTTATGTTTCCTTCCGGGTGGGAGGCTGCAAGGGTTTTAAGCCCTTAAAAATTTACAAACCTAAAGAATTCCTGTGTCATATAAATAACACAGTAACCATGTTTCCACTGGGGAAACTTGTTTTTCCGTTGAAACCCTGGGGAAGGTTGTCCCATGAACATAGAATGAGGGTGAAATTGGATGGGGTGTTTGCACATATTGCTCAAAAAATTTTTTTGGTGGAACATCCCATCCAAATTGTCATAGAGAAATGATGTCTGTGTAGTCCAGACTTTCCTTAACAGTGCTGATTTAAAATACTAAGTATTTAATTTTGGGTTAGAAAATAAGATCAGAGTAAGTACTGAGTACATCTTTTTAAGGACTAAAATACAGTTTTCATATCCAGTCGTGAGGTGTGAAATGAAGTAATGAGACTGCAGGTTACTGAGTGGGCTGAGGAAACATCCCACACTGTACCTCTATCCTCTGTGGTGCTTTCCACCCCATTTTGTACACTTTTCATGAACCCATAAGGCAACCCCCTCGCCTTCTCTCCAGGGGGGATGTTTCAACCCTCAACTCCCCATCCCGATACTTCCCCTCTCACTCCTGGTAGATGATCCAACTGGCTTAGCTTGAGTCAAGTGACCATCCATTTACTGGGGGAGCAGAGGGTATCTAAATTAAGAAAGCCACCAAGGGGGCGCCTGGGTGGCTCAGTCGTTAAGCGTCTGCCTTCGGCTCAGGTCATGATTCCAGGTCCTGGGATCGAGCCCCGCATCGGGCTCCCTGCTCCG